CTTAGACGCGCGCGAGATCACTTCCAGCGGAACGTTGGACATGGTTCAGTTCGGTTCATTTGGACATCTGATCCAGATCAGTTGAACATGGCTGTTAACAAGAGGTAAAAACGATATAAATACTGTTCGTTTTCTCACAAACCGCTCGTTTCTTGTCTTAGGCCATCAATGTGTACTTACATTTACAAGTCATTAAATCATGTTTAATTTTGACTTCTCTGTGCATGCTTTTTGACGTGGACCCCCTAAACATCCATTGTATGACTGACAGACAAGAACGGTTTGACCAAAAATGTAAAAATTGAAAATACTGTGGAAACAAAGACACCTACATCTTGGATGCCCTTGAGGTAAGATAAAACATATCAAAAATTAATTTCAAAGTGAACTATCCCTTTAAACTATGTTATTTCCTCACAAACACGAGTTGATACATACCTCTCACGTCTTAGTGCGTGCACTCAATCGCTTTAGCGCGACGCGACACATTGATAGCACTTAGCTTAGCACAGTTTATTCATTAGGATCCAAAAAGAGATGAAGTTAGAAGCGACCAAACACCTCCACGTTTTCCCTATTTAAATACAGTTACACGTTGGTAAGCAGTTACATGACCGAGAATGGTGTATGATTACACAAGTGTAAAATGGATAACTATAATGTATGGCGGAATAGCACTTGAGAGCACTTCGACTTGGCGCAGTAATATAATCACTCCTAAAAAATCCTCTCATCATCAGTAGTGATGATATTACTGTGCCAAGTCGAAGCGCTCTCAAGTGCTATTCCTTACTCCATACATTGTAGTTCTCCACTTTACACGCTTAGAAAAGCGGCACATTTTATTTTGTCACCATACTTGGTCGTATAACTACTCGTGTAACTGTATTTAAATAGGGAAAATGTGGAGGTGTTTGGTAGCTTCACTGCTTGGATCCTAATGAATGAACAGGGCTAGTTAAGGGCTATCAAAGTTTCGCTGCACGTCAGAGAAATTAAGTGTACGGCGCACTGAAACGAGAGAGGTATGTAACAACTTGTCTTAGTTAAGGGAATAAAATAGTTTAATATAAAAAAAATGGTGGAGTGTTCCTTTAAAGACAGCTCATTGCTTGTGGAAGATTTTCAAGATCATCCACAACCACTGTACCTTCCAGAATGATTGCCGTTGTTGTGGCATCAAGATGCAGGGAGTAGGGTATGGCAGCGGTTGCAGACGATTCGGGAATCACTGTCAGAACTCATTTCAATGTTGGACATATCTTCATTGTCATCACAGTCCTAAAAATGGGAATAGCATATAACAAAAATTAGGTAATAGAACAAGACATATTTTAACGGAACACTCCACTATTTTTTCATATTAAACTATGTTACTCTCTTTACTAAGACGAGTTGATACATACCTCTGTCGTCTTAGTGCGTGCACTCAATGGCTCTGGCGTGCGGAGACACTTTAACACTTAGCTTAGCCCAGTTTATTTAAACAGAGAAGCGACCAAACATCTCCACATTTTCTCTATTCAAATGTGGTTACACGGCCAAGTATGGTGACACAAAATAAAATATGGCGGTGTTTGGTCACTTCTAACTTCATCTCAATTTGCATCCTAATGAATGAACTGGACTAAGCTAAGTGCTAACAATGTTTCTCCATGCACCAGAGCGATTGAGTGCAGGCACTGAGACGAGAGAGGTATTCATAGAGAGGTATTCATCAACTTGTCTTTGTTAAGGGAATAACATAGTTTAATATGGAACAAAATGGTGGAGTGTTACTATAAAGGGATAGTCCACTCAAAAATTAAAATCTTGTCTTAATTTACTCACCCTCAAGTTGTTATAAACCTGTATGAGGTTTTTTTTTTTTTCATCTGCTGAACTGAAAAGAAGATATTTTGATGAATGTTGGTAACCAGACTGTTGAGAGTAGCCATTGACTTCCATAGTGGGAAAAAAAACTATGGAAGTCAATGGCTAATCTCAACTGTTTGATTACCGAACTTCTTCAAAATATATTATTTTGTGTTCAATATAAGAAAGAAACTCAAACATGTTTGGAATAACATAAGAGTGAGTAAATAACAACATCATTTCATTTTGGGTGATCGATCCCTTTAAGAGCACATAGTCATTAAAGGGTTAGTTCACCCAAAAAATGAAAATTAAGTCATTAATTACTCACCCCCATGCTGTTCCAACCCCGTAAGACCTTCGTTCGTCTTCGGAACACAAATGAAGATATTTTTGATTAAATTTGAGAGCTGTATAACTACCACATTGGCTCCTAAGGGACTGCCTCTTGACGGCCCAAAAAGTCAATGAAGAAAATGTTTAAATATCCCAAGTGACTACCGTGGCTCAACTATATGTTTATCAAGCGACGCGAATACTTTTTGTGCGAAAAAACAAACAAAAATAACGAGTTTATTCGACTATTTTTTTCTTCCTTGTAGGCCAGAACGAGACTTCCTTATAGATTTCCACGACGCATGCGCGAGAATTGCGATCTGAAGTAGTGTAAGCTGGTGTACGCAGATCGCAAATCTCGCGCATGCGTCGTGGAAATCTATAAGGAAGTCTCGTTCTGGCCTACAAGGAAGAAAAAAATAGTCGAATAAACTCGTTATTTTTGTTTGTTTTTTCGCACAAAAAGTATTCGCGTCGCTTGATAAACATATAGTTGAGCCACGGTAGTCACTTGGGATATTTAAACATTTTCTTCATTGACTTTCTGGGCCGTCAAGAGGCAGTCCCTTAGGAGCCAATGTGGTAGTTATACAGCTCTCAAATTTAATCAAAAATATCTTCATTTGTGTTCCGAAGACGAACGAAGGTCTTACGGGGTTGGTACAGCATGGGGGTGAGTAATTAATGACTTAATTTTCATTTTTGGGTGAACTAACCCTTTAAAATATGAAACTAAATTAATAACCCTTTGTGTCTAAATGTAAAGGCCTTTTCAGGGGGAAAAACATTCATCAAACCACTGCATGAAAAGACAAATAAAACTGATGGCCGGTTATATAAATTAAAACTAATATAAAATGTATCTTCTAACTGTCTTTTTTCTTCTAAACTCTTAATTTATCTTTCACTTTCTTTTCTCCAACCCTTACTTTGTTTCACTGTCCTGACAGTTTTTCATGCCTTTCTTCTTGCCAGATATCAACTGTTTGAAGAACAGTTAGACTGTTAAACAAGAATCACATCAGAGATGAAAATACTTACAAAAGATGTCTTGTAAAAATCATTGTGGTCCTCCTCGAAAAGTAGTGGTAGGCCATGATGAAGAACGCTGTTCGTTCCGCATTGATATTAGATTTCTGCAAAGTTATAAAAATGTATATTGAATAGCACTCGTTACTAGCAAAACGTCAGAGCAAAAAACAACAGTAAAAGCAACATCTGTTTTGCAATCGAGACATAATTGTGATATGTCGATGAGCTTACGTCATTTTGAATCTGCTGCAGAATCTTAAGTTTGGAGCCAATATCTCCAGATTTAGCCTTGAATTTATTGATGAAACGTTGAGCGAATCTGTCACAAAATAAAGACAAAATAAGGTAATAACTGCTTGTTAGTTACACTTCTTAATTAATGCGTCATGTAATTAATTTTCATGTGAACGACACGTGAGCATTGAACTTTCTAGAAAGAAGGAAAGTTACGTTAGCTGCTATCTAGGCCGCACAGCCAGGGTTTTTACATTTTAGATAAACCCCAAACTTAAACGATTAACACAGCATACAAACTGTAACAAATATAAAACACGTGTTCAGTAAAAATCGTTTTTTAATCTAGTAACTTATGCCGCTTGTCTCAACTGGTCTCATTCGACATAAAACTAACGTTACTTCAGTGTGTCTTTTCCTCTTACTGCACAATCAATGAGCAAAATAAATTCTGTTTTTAAGCTATACAATGACATTAAAGTTGATAAATAGTTGTTCAAGAGGCTAGCATACCTAGTTTTGCTGCCGCATCCATTCCCGAACACGAGCTGAAGTCCCTCGTCGATGTCGTCTCGTCTTGACGTCTTCCTCAAGTTCAACCGTCCAATTGCGCAAATGCGCATGCGCGAGTTGAAAAAAAAATAATAATAACCGAGTTGTTTCGTCTTATGCTGAAACTTAATAACCAAAGTAAATGTATAAAGATTTGTTACTAAAAATATAAAGGACTGTGAAGTAGCAGCCGATGGGCTTGCTTTTTATCTTCCCAGTTATTTTTTTAAGCGTGCAGGAAAAAAAGATTCAGAACCTATTAACTATATATTAACCTATTAACTATTTTCAAACTAATTGTATGGTATTTACTAAAAATGTTGTTAATTTCACTATTATTATTATTATTACTATCCAAATTCTGTGCTCCAGAAATTTTCAACAGTGTGAAAATGCCTTTAGTACAATACACTTACCAAACTTAAGTACAATGTACTAGATTTGTTTAGTTTGACTATTGCATCCACCTAAAAGTTCACAGTACACAGTGTAATCAAGTTAAATCAACTAAGTTTCTAAAGTAAGTTAAATTCACTAGTTTTTCTTAAGTAGAATCAGCAATTACTTTTTACAGTGACAGGTCTCTTTGTACATGACTGAACACATAAGCCCCATGAAATCCGCTCTCTGGTATTTTTAATAGAAACATGGGCGTTCTTATTTTGGCAGAGGTTTATGGCTGGGGTTGAGGATGCATGTTAAAATAAATATCAAGCTTCTCCTCACATGGCTTTGTTTGAGAGAAATAGAAGATCCATTAATTGCTGCATGCTTTGTTCGTCATTTCCATGCATTTGCTAATAAAGTTTACAGAAGGTGTGTGTAGGTCTGTCCTCTTCTCACCCAGCCGCAAATCTAAAACACCTCACCAAGGCGTGTCTAAGAGAAGCCCGTGCTGTAATACGTCCCATAGTCTCCCAATGATGGAGGTGAACAGGCCTTTGAGTTACACTTACCGTCACCGTAAGGAACTGAGTGGAAATGTAACTCACCGTCATGATCTGTGAAACATAGGGAGGAGATGTTTTGCAGAATGTCGATTTGCTCTTTTTCCGTCTGTCAAACTCCTAAAACGACAAAAACTTTATTAAATAAATAAAATGTTCATAAATGCGGTCTATACAATTCATGCATACGATAACTCTGTGCGAGAAAAAGACTGAAATTATTTCATACTGAAAAGTGAGGTATTAAAATTGTTAATTTCCATCAGATTCATTCAAAAGAGGTTCGATTCAATCCAATTCACATTTATTTGTAGCGCTTTTCACAATACACATCGTTTATGTGAAACGTCTGGAAATTATATATATATAATTCAATCCATTAAATTAATATACAGTATTACAAATATTAATGTGTATATATATATATATATATATATATATATATATATATATATAATGAATTAAATAGATATATTATAATTGTATTAATAATATATTACAAATGTTTATAATATATTACAAATATATGACAACTTTAAATGTATATTATATACTAGGGCTGTCAAACGATTATTCACAATTAATCGCATTTAAAATAAAAGTTTGTGTTTACATAATATATGTGGGTGCACTGTGTATAATTATTTTGTATATATATATATATATATATATATATATACACACATATATGTATATATTAAAGAAAAAAATATTATTTATATATAATATAAATTATATATAAATCTATACACAGTATATACATGAAAATATTTCTATATACAAGCATATTTGTGTATTTATATATAAAATAATTATACACAGTACACCCACATATATTATGTAAACACAAACTTTTATTTTGGATGCGATTAAACACGCCCTAATATATACACAGTATATTTTATATGTTATTTTTTAATAAATTAAATAAATGAAAATAATAATCATATTTATTTATTAAATATGTAAAATTCATTACTTAAATTAATATATTACAAACATATTAATAATATATTACAAATGTTAAATTAATAAAATAAATGAATTTTAAATTAATAAAGAAAATAAATATATTTGTGTGTGTGTGTAGCCAAGTTATCCAAATGTGGTGAAAGTGGAAAGCATTATGAAGGAGACTGAAGGAAAGAAGAAAAAAAAGGATTCAAGGATATGTAATTTTGGTGGCACTCAAGACTCTGACGAGTAGGTCTTAAGTAGGACTACACTGCAATGCGTTCTGGGTAAAATAAGGCACTTTCGGATGGAGGCCAAACCGCAGGGAAATATCAGCATCTTCCGTTGGTGTAAACGGGGCTTGAGTCAAGCCTGACCGCTCTCCTTGCTCAGCCTCTGTCTGGAGGGTTGTGACTGGATTAGTGAGCGGGTCATGTTGATGCTCTTGGAGTCCTTCAGCTGAATCCATATCCACTGGCCGCTTCAGAGAATAATCGGATTGTCCTGTCCATGATGCCAAGGTCTTTCAGCAGTCTGATGGTGGAGAAGCCTCTGCATCGCACTTCAACCGGATAGACTTTAGCTTTCCACCCTCGTTGTTGAGCGTGTGCTGCCAGTACGCGCAGTTTATTGCTCTCATAGGTCTCTTTTGCTGAATTCTCCCATGGGACAATGAGCTCTATGATGAAAAAAGACTTTAATGAAGGGGACCAGAGTACCAAGTCTGGCCTAAGGGTGGTGGCTGCAATCTCAGGAGGAAAGATTAGTTGCTGGCCAATATCGACTAGCATCTTCCAGTCCCGGGCCATGGTTGTCCAGCTTCTGGTTTAGTAGGGGGTGGTTGGGCTTTTTCGGCCCCTCTCGGATGAAGGTTGTAGCGGTTGGCGGCATTATACACATACATATACAAGTGAAACTCGAAAAATTAGAATATTGTGCAAAAATTCATTTATTTCAGTAATGCAAGTTAAAAGGTGAAACTAATATATTATATACACTCATAATTACATGCAAAGTGAGATATATAAGTTTATGAAAACCACAAAGTCAAAATTAGAATATTGTGAAAAGGTTTTCATATCTGTAATAATAACAAATAAAGGCTTGAAATATCTCAGTTTGCATGTAATTATGAGGCTATATAATATATTAGTTTCACCTATTAAGTTCTATATCATGAATATCGTGCAAAAGTTCATTTTTTTTCAGTAATACGACTTAAAGGAGTAGTTTTGCTGATAATTTACTCACCCCCATGTCCTCCAAGATGTCCATGTCTTTCTTTCTGCAGTCGAAAAGAAATTAAGGTTTTTGATGAAAACATTCCAGGATTTTCTCCATATAATGGACTTCAATGGGGTCCAAACGGTTCAAGGTCCAAATGAGAGTTTCAGTGCAGCTTCAAAGGGCTTTAAACGACTCCAGACGATGAATAAGGGTCTTATCTAGTGAAACGAGCGCTCATTAAAAAAAAATAAATAACAAAGTTTAAGTTTTATAAGCTCAAATGGTCGCCTTGCTCTGTTCTGTGATGCGTGTTCATGACTCTCCTGTTGAACAAATCATATTTCGTGTCATTTGGTTCATCAACGAACGAAATGAACGAGTTGACTCTGGAAAAGATTCGTTCATTTTGATGAACGAGTTCAAACAGGAGAGTCAGAGAACAGAGCAAGCCGAGCATTTGAGCTTATAAAACTTAAATTATTATTTTTTTTTTTTAAATGAGCGCTCGTTTCACTAGATAAGACCCTTATTCATCGTCTGGTGTCGTTTAAAGTCCTTTGAAGCTGCTGAAACTCTCATTTGGACCTTGAACCGTTTGGACCCCATTAAAGTTTCCAAAGCTGTAAGCCATCAAAATTTTAACAAATAAAGCCTTTTAATATCTCACTTTGCATTTATTGAGTCTGTAGTTTCACCTTTTAAGTCGGATTACTGAAATAAATTTGTGCACGATATTCTAATTTTTCGAGTTTCACCTGTACATATATACATAACGTAGTACACCAACTAATTTAAAATACATCCTCGAACGCAAGAGAGTAAAAATAGGTCTTAAACTGCATTTAAAAGCGTCCAGTGATGTAGCGGCGCTGATGATTAAAGGTGAAGTGATCTCCAGAAGGGTGCAGGGAAGGGTAGTCGCCGCGACTGGCGTTTACACCCTCCATTAGCATGACAAAGGCACTCGGCACAGAGTGTGGCCCTGACCTTCAGCCCTGACAGGGTGTGAGAGCGGAAGTGCTGAGACTCAAGCCTCCTCTATTCTCACACACACTCACGGGTCCCCGGCTGCCATATTATCATGCTGATCTGATGGACGCCCCTGAGCAACACAAAGCCACGACAGAGCGACGGAGCGAGACCCGATTTCATCTTTCAACAGGCCTCGAGTGGCCAGAGCGATGAAAAGCACACTGTAAATACAGTCGTTCACTTGCTGCAGGTCATTATTATGCAATCGCCTGGAAATCTGGCCGTTGAAATTGATTGTCACAATTAAATCCTAGCTATTATATTCAGCTTTAATGGTCAGATATCTTTTTTGATGTCTGATTTTATACAGTGCCTGAGATCACAATTAAAATCCTTTGTGCGTGTGTCTATGTCTATCTATCCATCCATCTATTGATTGATTGATTGATTGAAGTTTATTTGAGCAAAATAAAATAAAATAATATACATATATATTAACACACACACACACATAAAAATAAAAAAGAAAATAGCCCATATACATAGATATAAATACACATATACACACACATTATTTACACTTATAATAATCTATCTATCTATCTATCTATCTATCTATCTATCTATCTATCTATCTATCTATCTATCTATCTATCTATCTATCTATCTATTCGTTTAACCGTGATTAATCACATAACATAAAAGTGTATTTATATACATGTATGTGTGTGTACATACATGCATGCAGTATAATGGCATTTAAAATAATGTTATGTAAATGTGTTATATAATTTATAACATGTAAACATGTAATCATGTATATTAGCATAATATAAATGATAATTTTATGCAATTGTTTTGAGCCAGATAAATACTTGAAAAAAGGCCATTTGTAAGCTAAATTAGGAGTATTATACATACACATTATATAAAACATGCATGCATTGTAAAATATTAATATTTAAAACATATTTAATATTAATAAATATATTTAAATGTACATAATAAATGTGTGTTGTGTCATTATGACCTAAAATAATCAAATAAGTGACGTTGATCATGCAACTCTTTGTTCAAAAAGTCTGGATCATCATAAATCATGCTAGAGAACATGCTCATCATGTCTGTCATTAAAGCCAAATGTTCGTACCGTTGTTTTCCTCTCACGTTGCTCTCTTTCAGCGTCCACTAAAACCCTCCAAAGACAATGGAGACTCTGAGCCAGAACCTATAGTGAAATGAAATGGACAGATTACAGTAAGCGAGATGAAATGATGGACAGGAATGAAAATGTGTTGTTGTTCTTTATCGTATTCTCAATCCTCATCATTAGTAAAATAACACCCCACAGCGACATCTAAATGGGGACTTATCATAGATTAGTTTAGTAGAATAACAAAAACAGATTACAATAGAAACAACTTTTAATTTATTCAATGAAAGAACAATTTTTCTTAGTGTGAAGAATTGACCATTTAAATAATCTCGAAGAACTTTTTTTTTTCAATTTTAAAGAAACTTTTGTGTGTCTGAAAAATGCTATGGATATTAAAGGTTATTCATGGAAACAATGATGCCGATAAAGAATTAAAAATTTTTCATGAGTGTATGATCCTTCTTTTTAAATATATATATATATATATATATATATATATATATATATATATATTATAAATTCATTACAAATAGGCTATGACAGCATCATACAAAGTAACCGGTAGTAAAATCTCGGTATTAAAAAAAAAAATAGTGAAATCTCTTTTTAACAAGCATGATTTAAAATAATTAATTAAAATATAAAAATAGTGTAAAATTGATTAATCAATCAATCAAACTTTTATTACAGACTCAAAGTCCAATTTAAAAAACAAACAAACAAACAAACCAAAAAACATATATATAAAATAAAAAAATTAATCGCAAAAATTAATTGATTAATCGCATCTAACATAAAATTGTGTTTATATAATATAACTGTATGTGTGTCTATATACAGTAGGCTATATAGGGTATGTGTGTGTGTGTGTGTGTGTGTTTTATATAAAACAAACCGTTGTGTTATTAATCGATTTGGTAGCACTAATGTAAAGCCAGAGAGTGTAATATTTCTCTATACTTTTATCATGGAACCTAATATTAATCGTATTTATTACTAATGGGCTTCATTGTTAGTAAAATCAAAGTAAAATAATATGAAATCTCCTTCAAATACAGTAAATTTATTTTCTTTATTTTTTGTGATGAATGTGTCAATTTTACCATGTTATTTTGAATGAAATTACTTTTTAGTCATGGCAGGTCTTGTTTTCATTTCCAATATTTCATTAAACTAGTTTATGAAGCCTGTTTATTAGAGGGATATTCTAAATTAGCGAGGAAATGTTAGAAATATTTCCTCTCACAATTTCACACTCACACACGGACGCGAAAGCGCACGCGCTGCGCGTGCACTGCCGAGTCGGGAGCGCGCGTAGAGGCGGTCCGGCTGCTTCAGTTTCTGTAATCGCTTTTTTTCTGCTACCTTCAGTTAAATAGCGACGAGACGAGAACGAGCGGACGGCCCGACTCTGACTACACGGTATCATCCAGAAAAAGCGAATCGGGACGCCACATCGACGGCCGCTCGGCAGGTAAATATCCTCGCATGTCCGTCAGAGCCCTTCGACCGCGCGTGAAAACTCGCTAAATGTCCCGCAAAAGTGGTTGTTTTCCCCCCTCGGTGTGCGGGGATGTGCGGGACGAGGCTTCTCCTTTGTGCCGAGGCAGCTGTTCATCGTGGTCACCACGGGTGAATCGTTACGTTGTTTTGCCCTCACGTTTTGGAAAATATCCCCGCGGAAGCTCGATGCGGTTCGACGGGTGCGTTTGATCGGTGTGTGTTTTGTTGCGGGATCGAGCGGCGCTCGCGGCCTCCCGCATAAATAGACGCTCCTGAATAACGCGCGCGTGCAGATGCGGCAACAGCGGGGTTTCTGTCTGACAGGCTGCCAGGTGCTTCAATGATTCCCTTCACATTGTAGTGTACACTAGATATAGCAAGGCATCTATGTGTACTTAAAATGGAGAAAGCCCTTGATATAATTGTGCTGACAGCCCTTTTGGGGTGTTCTGTTGTTCTGTTAGATGGACAATGTGTGTATAATTGCAAAGTACGTATATATTCGTGCATTTTGTCAGTATACACCCCTAAAGGTTATGTTTGTGAACTTAAAATGCTACCCTTCTATTGTAATTTGGTGGTGCCTTATGTAAATATTCTAAATACACTGGCCAGGCACACACACACAAAGTCCCGGTTTGGATTTAAATATGCAAATGCTTAAGAGTCTATGATTGGATCATTCTTGCAGTGGTTATCATGGTTCCAGCATAAATATGTTTGGTAACAGTTATTCTAAATCTGACTGGGAATAAATGTGGTGATATTTCCATCATTTTTGGTTAAGATCTTGTAGAGTCCAGCACTCTGTAAAGTCTCCTCCAGCACATCCAAAACACGTTCAATGATTTTAACGTCTAGATTCATGAGTGAAAAATGAATCATTCATTCACAATCTGAGCCTGATGAATTTTGACATTGTCCTCCTGGAATATGGCCATGATGTGTCTTCCTACATAAACACTCTTTCATTTAGGGTTGCTGCCAAACATCTAAAATGCTAGAAACATAATAATCACTGCAATAATCATCCAATCACAGACCCTTAAGTATTTGCCTATTTACATTTTGTCCAGGCAGTGTATGTTCTAATGTATATCCATAGCACAATATATACAAATCCTCATTATGCTACACTCTCAGAAAAAAAGGTACAAAAGCCTTCACTGAGGCTGTACCTGCTCAAAAGGTACACTTTTGTACCCAAAGTCTGTATATTGGTACCTTAGTGGTACTTATTAGCACCTGAAATGTACATATTAGCACCTGAAATGTACATATTAACATTTAAACTGTACTTATTAGCACCTGAAATGTATATCAGCACGTAAAATGAACATATTAGCACCTGAAATTTACATATTAACACCTAAACTGTACTTATTAGCACCTAAAATGTACATATTAGCACCTAAAACGTACATATTAACACCTAAAATGTACTTATTAGCACCTGAAATGTATATATTAGCACATAAAATGTGCATATTAGCACCTGAAATGGACAAAAGTTTACCTTTTCAAAAGGTACAGCCCCAGTGACAGCTTTTGTACCTTTTTTCTGAGAGTGTACAGTACATTGGTACCTTTACAGCAAATGTGTACTTTGGGATCTCACAAAAAAAATACTTATTTGAAATAATGTGCACATTAACACCAGAAACATGCATTGAAGTAATTTGGGTTGTTTCATTTCACCCCAATGAGGTATTTCTACATACTTAAATTGATAAATAGCTACATAACATGATGAATTTTGCCCAGAATTACTCTTTTGCACTGAAGGACCGTGTGCGTCATGTGAGGGTTAGCCTTTCAATTTCACTCCGGATCTTAAGCATTACCCCTGAATGAGTGAACCAGGGACTAAAGGTCGCCAAACAGAATCCGAGACTCGCACGTTGATGTGATTTATCTGTGACTGAAATGAAACCCGTTGTATTTGAAGGGGAAATAACTCAACAGGACCGTAAGCGGAGAGTATTGTGGCATAAAAGACTGTATTTGGACTCTGAGCTATTAACTCTCTGGCATGACTGCATTGCACGCTGCAATTTAAATGTTTTATGACTCATTTCCCACATTATCACAAAACGAGTTGACCCGTAAAATCCACTCTCAGAAGTGTTAATACCTTCCTGTTGGTCTATCCTTGATCATTTACGACTTGGATCTAAAAAAGCGCTGACCTAACACCCGGCTTGGGGATCTCGGGCTACTTTTGAAGTGAGGTCTCTCTATTCTCCACACTATGCATCTTTTATGTGTTTAAATGCGGTGCCGGAGCGCAGATTCCATAGGTATTTATTAGCTGAACTCGTGTGGCTTTTAAAGCTACCGATAACATCTGAAGGAATTTCTCCTCGTCGTCAGAAACGAGACGCATCACAGATCAGATAAACATCTGAAATCATGATTTGACTGATCAAATGTCTGGGAGAAAATACTAGAGTATTATTTCATTTGTGCGCTTCCTGTGAGCGTACAGGAAATGCCTGCTTTAAATTCCTCTTGAACGAAAAGTGGGGCCACGTTACGGTGACCATCTTAATCTAACTGAACGGATGCAGCGTATAATGCTGTGTGCAACCCATCATGTATTTCTGGGTGCATTTCAATATTTGCATGAAACACGTTTCATAGTTTTGTTGTTTGGAATAACGTGCACAATGAGACCAGAAACATGCATTGAAGTAAATGGGGTCCAATTGTATTGTTGTGTGAAACCATTCTCGTATTAATTGTTGCAGTGACAGCATTATGTTTAATGTTTATGTTTAATCTGTTTTGTGGGATTCATTTTCATCTTCCACAGACTGGGATTGGGATAAATCTGAAAACATCTGCCCTTAGGTTGAAATCTACACCGTTTTTTATGCATGAAGCCCATAGAAACGACGTGCTTAAAGGAGTAGTTCACTTTTAAAAAAAAATTTGCTGATAATTTACTCCCGGATCCCATGTCATCCAAGATGTCCGTGTCTTTCTTTCTTCAGTCGGAAAGAAATTAAGGTTTTTGATGAAAACATTCCTGGATTTTTTTCTCTATATAATGGACTTCAATGGGGTCCAAACGGTTCAAGGTCCAAGAGACAGTTTCAGTGCAAACTGCAAACTGTTCAAAGGGCTTTAAACGACTCTAGATGATGAATAAGGGTCTTATCTGGCGAATCGATCGCTCATTTAAAAAAAAAAAGCAGTTTAAGTTTTTAGCTCAAATGCTCATCTGTGATGCGCGTTTGTGACCCTCCTGTTCGAACTCGTTCATTAAAATGAACGAATCTTTTCCAGAGTCAACTCGTTCATTTCGTTCGTTGAATAAACAAAATGACACAAAAAAAGATTCGTTCATTTGATAAATGAGTTCGAACAGGAGAGTCACGAACCCGCATCACAGAACAGAGCAAGGCGAGCATTTGAGCTTATAAAACTTAAACTTTTTTTTTTTTTTTTTTAAATGAGCGACCGTTTCGCTTGATAAGACCCTTATTCATCGTCTGGTGTCGTTTAAAGCCTTTTGAAGCTGCACTGAAACTATCTTTTGGACCTTGAACCGTTTGGACCCCATTGAAGTCCATTATATGGAGAAAATCCTGGAATGTCTTCATCAAAAACCTTAATTTCTTTTTTGACTGA